GGTAAAAAACAGTATTTTTCTAATATTTTCTTATTATAAAATGAACCGGAATTGTGCATTATTGCAACATTGTTCTTCGAAACGAAAATGTTGACCTAGGCATAACAAAATATGTGTGTACATATGTATGTACGTGTATATCTGTATATATGTATATAATATATGATATGTAGTATAGTCTATATGATATACAGAAAGTTGTATATGGTGTATGGTATACAGTATTTGATGTATAATATGTAATATATAATGTATGATATATAATAAGTAATATATGGTCAATAATAAAGGAAAACCGAAAAAAAAAGTTTGTTTTAAAAACTAATTTAGATGAAATATGAAAACAGTAAACAGAAGAAGCCACTAATTCTTCTGATTATCATAATTTGATAAAATATAAGTACTTCTTATTTTACTTGAGAAACTTTTATCATAAAACTATAAAATAACGCATAATTTTGAAACTTTTTTGACTGCACTTAATCGCGCTAATTGTTTACTCTAAACATCTACCAATATGAATCATAGAAGAACGGAGATGCGAAAAATAATTGTAAGCGCGATTGGTTCGGTCACAAAATCAACTGGCTGGCTATCAATAAGTAGTAACGGACTGTTACGAAACACTTTTTTCCTTTAAACCTGTGCGCGCGTCATGTATAAGTGAGACCTACCAACATGAATCATAGAAGAACTAGGATGCTCAAATAATTGAGATTGATCTTCCTTACAGGTAAGTTGATCAAATCTTACAATTATTCCTGTCTCTTTACGTCTGCATAGGTACATTTCCTAGATAACAGGAATGGAAATGGCAATAATAGAAGTTTATAAATTAGCTTTTATTTTATTAACTTTGTGTACAGGTTGATTGGAATATCTTGGGTAATGCTTAATAACTGATGACAATTAAATTCTCAGTGGCTATCAGTTAAATGTAGGATAAGAAAATTTTAGATACACATGATGATATTCTGGAAAGAAGTGCAAACAAGCTTAGGAAGTGATTCCTATTTTTTGAAAACTTAATGTTAATAAAGTTACACAACATTTAAAAATATTTTTTTAATTAATATTTTACCAAAACTGTTTTTTCGGGTAATTGTTTTTTTTTTAATTTATTACACTTATTGGTAACAAATTACATGTATGAAATAAAAACCATGAGTGCTCTACAGCGCTCTTATTAACTAGAAAATTATAACTTTTTATTTTATTTTAAAAAAAATCTAACTTATTTTTTTCATTTAAAAAACATTAATTAAAAAATTAATAATGGGTAATTAGTGAATAAAAGGTGAATATCGTGTAATTAAAACGTACGACCTACCTGAATAGTATCCCTAGTTGTAGATAAATTTATCATCAATCAATCTCCTGTTATTTTTATAGGTGGACTATGTTATTCGTGAGGCAACTAGTCTAGATAATCTGGCCTTGTTATATGAGGGCTGGACGCCATGGGTGTGAAAAGTTACATAAATGGCAGTAAACCTGCCTGGATCTCCTTCGGTACTAGTAGAGCGTCAGCGCATGAGTTGCGAAAGCATGGAAGAAGCAGCATCGCCATCTAACTATACTTGCTTGTCCAGGTCAAGTTGCTTAGTTTTATTGTTTTTGCATGAAACAATATAAAACAGAATTAAATTGTATGAAGTCGGAGCAATGCAGTATTAGATATTGCAACATCAGTAAAACTTTGCTACTTGCAAATAGTAAAGTATTTCAAAGTTAATGCTGCTTTTTATTTTAATTATCAACGGTAATTGTCAGAGTTGGCAAGTATAATGTAATGCCTAGGTGGCAGTATCTGTGTGTCAAAAAGTCTTTTACGTGTGTTGAAAGACTCCTGGTTTCTGAACATGTGCACACACACAACTCTATTTATGCAAAAACAATTTTTATATTGTATTTCATCAAAAATAGATAATGGAATCAATTTTTTTGTTTCAAACCAGTAGAAATGAAGGTTTCACATTTTGCTCAACTGATTTCCGTTCACACATCAGCAAATTATTGGTTTACATTTTTTTTTTTGTTTAATCCAAATATATGTATATTCTTTTTTCTATCCCTAATTATTGACAATGAAATTAAAAATGCAGTGTATAGAATTGCTACTGTGTAATTTCAACAATATATATGTAACTCATTAAACAACATTGGAGTGAATGTTTTTAATACCTTTGAATCTTCTAGACACAGTTTTAGATGTTCTTACTAAATATTTATAATCATTAAAATTAAAATATAATAATTCCTTAAATTCTTTTTGTAGGTGTAATTGTACTAACCATATGTTATATTATTTACTAGGGTATTTATTATTTTCATGTAATTTTTTTGAAATTGTAATAAACATTATACTTTTCAAATGGAATATTCAAAACTTTCTTAGATCTTAATTCATGAAACATTAAATGTTGTGGATGTTTATTACTTTTTCTGATATAATTTTTAAAATATAGTTCTCTTGCAATTACTTTGTGCTTTTTATATATTTTATTGAATTACCTAAAATATTTATTTAAACTTATGAAGCTGCGAGAATTCACGTAAATAACTTTTTAACAAATAGAGTTACACCCAAGTAACACTTAAGGTTTCGTCACCAAGGATTGGTATAGTGCCATCATAAATGCCCCAGTTCCATGTGACCAAATTTGTTTTGGCGCTCAGTAAATTTGATTTTCTTGTTGTTTCCAAAATTACCTAGGAAAAATCAGCAACTAGGACCCTAGATGTCAATCCAGAGGCGTTCGTAGATTTTCGTGTTTTTGTGCCCGTTGTTTGTACAGGCTGGTCCATTTTCGATGGGAATTCGGGGTATTTCAGAAACTACTAAAGATATGATAAATCTGACATGACATTCTCAAGCTCGATTTTCATGGCAAACTCGACTGTCAAATCAGAAATTTGCTATCTTTATTTGTTTGTGAGTTACAGGGCGTTTCTCGTTCTTGTCACATCTTTGAACATATCTATATCTCAGCTGTTAAATAAGTTAGAGTTAAAGTGAAAACTGTTCAAGACTAATTCTATGGCGTAGAATTGAATGCCGGTATTAGATTTTTAGTAGATCTTAAGATTCCAGAGTTATGACCCAAAGTTATATTTTTTTAAATGGAAATCGTAGCTGACCATGGCCTAAAAAAATAGAGATTTTTTTTTGCTTTTTAGCAATATATCACATACTATAGTTATTTTTACAAACACGGGAGATACGGGATGTTTTATATATAAATTATATATTTTTTTGCATTTTAATATGGCTGGCTATGAAATTACATATAAAACTATAATTCTTACTTTTACAAAACTCATATCTGTTGTAAAAATATGACGTTTATTTTAAATGCACAACATATTATAATCGTATGATAATATAATACTAACGAAATTTTAGGAGAAAGGTGGATAGGAACAAACGGACCGATCAGATGGCCAGCTATATTACCTGATTTGAGTTCGTTGGACTTTTTCCTTTGGAGTTTTCTAAAAGACATTATATTTAAAATTCATTTTTAATAATATTTCAAATATACATTTAATGAATGCTACTCAAAGCGTTGCCAGAAGATGCGCGAAATGTGTGACAGTTGAGGGACGGCATTTTTGAAAGTTTTTATTGATGTAGGTACTTACTACTGTTTAATTTACGTTTAATATTGTAACTTGAGTTGAAGTGGAATAAAAATTTTAAAACTGTCTTTTCTTATCTGTAATATATATTTTAAATAAACATCATATTTTTACAGTAGATATGAGTTTTGTAAAAGTAAGAATTATAGTTTTGTATGGATTTTCATATTCAGCCATATTAAAATGTAAAAAAAGATCGGATTTATATATAAAACACCCCATATCTACCTACTAAAAATCTAATACCGGCATTTAATTCTACGCCAAAGAATTAGTGTGTCTTGAGTAGTTTTCACTTTAACTCAACATTATTTAATAGCTGAGATACAGACATATTCAAAAGTGTCACAATAACGAGAAACACCCTGTAACTCAGAAACAAATGAAGATAGCAAATTTCTGATTTGAAAGTCGAGTTTGCCATGAAAATTGAGCTCCAGAACATGGTGTCAGTAGGGTTGCCAGATCTGTTGTATGTTAAAACGGGACTACTGCTAAAACAGCGATAAAAAAAAGGGACAAACTAAAAAAAATCGGGACATTTGAAAAACCAAGTAGCATAAAGAAATATAATATATTTAAACAAAAAAAAATAACTGCTGTAGGTAATATGAACGAAACAAATAAATATATTTTCTTACAAAATAGATAAAATAGAATTTGTGTAAACAAAAACATAACAACTTCAAATTAACATGAATACCTATAAATACGTATATCTACATAATGACATTATACTGATTAATTATATTTGTTTGCAGTTTGGTCGTTCTTAATTTTGCTGTAAAATTCCCTACATGACAGTTTGTTATTTGACTTTTATCAATAATTCACTCTTGATTACTATACGGAAAATCTTGCTTTGTTTTAAATAATGTTTGCCATTTTTTGCTTACACTTCCAGACATTTTTCTAACACAGGGAATAATCGTTTTAAAGGCACTAAAATGTAGACTGCTATTATAATGGCGATAGGTAGATACATTATACACTATTCACTGCATACTACAGCTTGTTGTGACTTGCGATGACTTTAAGAAATAACATGGATTTGTCAGTTAAATTACGGGACAAATATGCGTCCCGTTAGTACCTTGCCCGGGACGCGGGACAAACTTCTGAAAAACGGGACGTCTGGCAACCCTAGGTGTCAGATTTATCATATCTTTAAGTTTTTGAGATACCCTGAAATCTCACCGAAAATGGACCAGCCTGTACAATTTAGCAGTGTTTGCCAACGAATTCTAACACAATTCGTTGGTGTTTACCATTATTGTTGAGCTCTTCTACAAATGAATGTTTGTGTGTTGAGTTGAAAAAAAATTGTTCTTTTCAGAACTTCAGAAAATTCGACGTTTTTTCAGCAAGCGAAACGAATATTTTAAGGTTGTTTCATTTGTTACATTATTATTCCTTGTAACAAAACGTATTTATTTTGTAGGCATATACGCTCATTTAGTGCGCGTCATCACCGCCATTTTGTTAGGGTAGGTTAAGGCACTGGATGCAAACAAAAACAATTATTGGATGTCATTAGTTTAACATTGGTCACAAAAGCAAAAATTTATTTGTGGTGAATTAAACACAATCAGAAGTGAACAAGGTATGTAGATCAAGTCTTATTTGATTTATAATACTTTAGTATCTTGCTTGCTCCAGGAGAATTTACCATTAAATTCATTTACATATTTTTACTAGATAATGTCACTTTCAGAAAGCGGATTAAATATAATTAAACAGAAATAAGAAGAAAAAATATGGCTATAACTTGTTGGGCTCCTGGTTGTAATCACAGTAGTCTAAGAGAAACATGTTCGTTTTTTCGATTTCCTATTGATAAAAAGGAATATAAGCGTTGGATAACACTTATCAGGTAAGAACAGAAATATGTTTACATTTATTTAGTTATCATGTCAATACACATATATTATAGTTACTATTGAAAGAAGGTAGGTAATTGTTTTAACATTAATTGTTTTAGGCGTGGTGGTGATAGCAAACCTGGTACAGGAGCTCGCATATGTTCTTGTCATTTTCGTGACGGTAAGAAAGAAAATGGCCCAGAGATTTTTGCTCACAATAAAGAAAAGTTTTTTAATAAACATTACCTTAGTCCTGAAAAAAGAAAAGCCAGAAAGCGAGTAATACTACTTGATACAGAAAGGTAACTGTCTACTATTACATCTGATATTTCATATAATTAGTTAAGAATAAAAAACTACTTGTTTTGATGAATTCCAGTGAGCCAAGTACTTCTGCAATCGAGTCGGAGAATTCACCACCTCCTAGTGAACAACACCTGCCAAGGTAGTTGAGTTTCCATATCAAATATAATATGTGTCTAATTTATGAAGTTTTAGTATGCCAGGCACTTCTAAAGATGTACCGATATTAGAAGTAGAGAGTCCTTCATCCAGTAATGATCCTATAGCTTCAACATTGCAAACCAGTCGAACAATGCCATCTACTGCTATGTACGAAGCAGAAATATATTTGGCAAAATTAGAAGCTGAAAGAAAGGTTGAAATCATAAAGACCCTAAAGTTTTGTATGACCTACGAACAAATCTGCGAATCAGATAAATTGATCTTGGAATACACAGGATTACCAAGACAACATATCTCAAGCTCTGTACAAATTGATAGATAATGTAGAAATAAATTATTATTTGAAGTGGAAAGTACAGAAATTAAGTAAAATTGATCAGTTATTAGTGACTCTAATGAAATTAAGACAAAATTTTCCCTACACCGATTTGTCATATAGATTTCAGGTTTCAGAAACGACCATGACAAATGTGGTAGTGACATTTATACATGTACTTCATGAAATTTTATTCAAAGAGCTAATGAAAGATATACCTTCACGAAGAAAGAGTAGGTCCTGCTTACCCAATTGTGCTAGCACTTTTACCAATTGTCGGATAATTTTAGAAGCAACTGAAATTTTCTGTGCCGTACCGAGGCAGTCCATGAAAGTCCAGAAGTATATTATCAGAAACCAACTTTTGATTTTTTTATTAATCTGTTTTATTTTAGGCTTACATACAGCTCGTATAAACATAGAAATACCTTTAAAGGTTTAGTTGGAGTTGCCCCAAATGGTGTAGTGACGTATGTAAGCAGTCTTTATCCAGGTTCAACATCAGACAAAGCCATCGTAAAACACTGTGGAATCCTAAATAAATTTGAGCCAGGAGACCTCATATTGGCTGATAAAGGCTTCTTAATAAGCGAGTTGTTGCCTGTAGATGTAAACCTTAATGTGCCGCCTTTTTTGTGTACACCACAGTTTACGCCAGAACAAGTACGTCGAACTCAATGCATCGCTAAAGCTCGAATTCATGTGGAAAGAGCCATCTGTCGAATGAAAAGCTACAAGATATTGAGCTTTATACCAGACAGACTATTCAGTTATAGCTCAGTTATTTTTCAGACTGTAGGCTCTTTGACAAATTTACAATATCCTTTAATAAAGGAAGTTGCAGAATTTTATGAAAAGTAATAAGTAGTCTTAACTCAAAATTAACTGTTCATATAATTATACTTACTACGTTTTGAATAAATTTATAAATAGCAATATTGAATAGTTAATTAGTGCTGTATATAAATGTTTTTGCACTACTACACTGCACAATGCAAATTATATGATTCAATAAAAGTATATAAGTAATACGATGTATTTATTTTTTTATTCATTTATTTCAACAGAGTTGACAAAAAATGTTTTAAATAAAAGTTTTTCAAAATGTCTATATTAGCAAGCCAATCCTCGTCCCTCTCTATAATTACACATTCACATTCTATAGGTGTCCAAACAAAAAAATAGCACTGTTTACGTTTAGTAATATAAAGTTGTCCCTGTATCTGGTGGTAATAATTATGGTCTCGGTCTATTAAAATCTCTCCATTTTCATAGTGGAACAGATAGTTTTTATTTTTCACACCTTCATTTATTGATATATTCCTAAATTTATAAGGGCATTTCACTTCTATTATAGAGTCCTCACCAACAAGCCCATCTGGAGATGCCCCCATAAATCCACATTCATGTAAGCATAAACCTGTGGCTATAACTGAGAAGTTTGTCTCTTCCATGAACTTTTGTATGGCCGTCTGTTCATTATCTTTACCCCACTGAACTGCTAGGACACGATCCATACTATATCCCTCTAAAAGGGCCTTCAACAACGAAGGAGGATATTTATTTCGCTTGCAGGCTTTTAAAACTAAACCAAATTTACTTGCAGTTAATCTGCTTTTTCGGGTTATAAGCCAATTTTCATTCATATGTTGTCCTACCGTCAAAGAAGCGATTTCTTGAATTTTTTCAGCTGGCATAAAACATTTTTCTAAAAAATATGCTTCTTTGTGTTCAGCCTGGAAGTATTCCTCAGAGAACACTATATCGTCTATTGATGGTACCAACTTATGCACTGCTTCATTAGCTTCAGGTTTAAGAAGCCATGAAAATCCCACATTTGTTTGACCTAATATTTGTCTGAAATCTTCAATTTCTGATGTTGTAATTTTATTGCAAACTGCAACATACTGTTGTTTACAATCATATAACTCTTCGATGGTATGAACAGGAACTTCGGCATTTAAATTTGCAGCTGTGGTACCCCACTGTCGTTGAATATCAGTTGAACTAATATTGTAGTGGGCGTAATATAATAAGGCAGCCAAGTGATGGCACACAACTTGTCCACGGGGACAAGTACATGAGTTTGAAATTACCACTTGCTCTTTCAAATCAATAGAAACCTAAAGAAAAAACACTTGTTACAGTCACCCTTTCATTTAGATGAAGAAATATTTATTACCTCTACAGTATATGTTCGCTTTTTCATGCTGGCCTGAACACTGCCCTTAATAATGGCTGGCTGCACCTCTCTATGAAAAAACATTTTTTTTACATGTCCACTTGTGTAGGCATTTTCACCTCGTCGCAGCTGTTTCTCATCATTTTTGAATAGCTTTGCTATTGCAAAAAACTTAATGGCATGATTTGTAGTCATCTTTCTCTAAAAAACAATAAATATATTAGCAAAAAGTAAGGTTATTGCACGTTATAGTAAGATTTAATGGTATAGGGTGGGTACAAGTGTGTTACTATATTTATATGTTACATAAGACGTGATCTACATACCTTTTTCACTTCTGATTGTGTATTAATTCACCTCATATAAATTTTTGCTTTTGTGGCGAATGTTAAACTAATGACATCCAATAATTGTTTGCATCCAGTGTCGTAACCTAACCCAACAAAATGGCGGTGATGACGTTTTCACTAAATAAGCGTATAGCCTTCCTACTTAAAATAAGAAATAATTTTGATACTGTAACTTTTTGAAATGTTTGTTGAAAAAATTTCAAATTTCAGTACATATTTTGAAAAAAAAAAAGAGTGGAAATGATTATAGAGTTTCAGTGTTTTCTATATTGTATTAGCTTTCAGGGTGAATAAAAAAATATTACAAGTAAATAATTTTACTAAACCAATCTTTGATTAATTCTTGCAATAGAGATTTATTATGCAACTTTAAATTTTTCGTTGTGTTGATATCCATAAAAAAAACTACCTACCTCTGAACACATTTTTTATTAAAAAAAAGGAAGTGGATAAAATCCCGTACGTGGGATTGTAATGGAAAAATTATTTTCCCGAAAGGGCGGGGTTTATCAATTTGAATGGTGCAAGTGCAAGTGCAAGTTTGAGTTGTAGTAAAGTATTAACTTTCAACAGTAAATAATTATTTGTTATTGTTAATTAAATCAATCTTTTTCAGGAAACATAGGTATAATACAGTGTATTACATGTTACAGATTAGATTAAGGTATTAAAAATATGATTGAGGTGCTGTTCTCTCGACGTGCATTAGCATCATCGTCAATTAATGCTTAATGAACATGTAGTCAATAAACAAATTATAGACTGATTGGTTATAATTGTCACCCTTATTTAACTTCCTTATTTTTAGACTTACAAGAAAATGTTAAATNGTAGAACAGGAGAGTGAGAGTGAAAACAGGAGATCTCCTGTTAAAACAGGAGATCTGGTAACACTGGCTGCACCTCTCTATGAAAAAACATTTTTTTTACATGTCTACTTGTGTAGGCATTTTCACCTCGTCGCAGCTGTTTCTCATCATTTTTGAATAGTTAATTTTTGACGGAGGTATGCCAGGTACCCAAGAGCTATAGTCCAACCCAAATAAGACTTGATCTACATACCTTGTTCACTTCTGACTGTGTTTAATTCACCACAAATAAATTTTTGCTTTTGTGACCAATGTTAAACTCATGGAGGCTATACAAGGAGCCCGAACTCCATGTAAACAAAAATCGTACAAAAATAAGAGGGCGCTAGTGTTCCATATGTCCCATATGTAGAGAGGGGTGATAAAAAGCGGCAGTTTGAATTATAAATCAATCATGTCATTTTTGTAATGTGTTAAAAATTTTAAAATAAATAATGTAAGTTACTTTGAATTATATAAATCATGAAAATATGTCATTCCGGACTGTAATTAAACTAAATAGATAATAAAAAATATTAGCTTTATGAGAAGAATTTGGTGTTCGTAGAAAGAAACTAGTTTTCAAGGAATTTATGACGTGATCTTGTTAATATTAACCTATAAGTAAGGTTTATGTTTTTGATAATTACTTTGTTAAAGATTTTAGTTTAATGTTAGTAAAAAATAGTCACATTTTATACAGGAAGTT